CGGACAGCTGGTCGACCTCGTAGGCCCTCGGGAAGAGGAGAGGGAGAGGAGGGGAGGAGAGGAGAGGGGAGGAGAGGAGAGGAGAGGAAGGGGAGGGGAGGGGAGGAGAGGGGAGGAGAGGAGAGAAGCTGGGAGAACTTTGCTCTTACTCTATTTGTCACCAGGTGTGGGCTGGGAGTGGAGTTGGTGACAACACTGTGTCTTGGTGATGTTTGGTGCTGCTGTGGTGACAACACTGTGCCTCGGTGATGTTTGTTGCTGCTATCCAGAGCTCTTCCCTCCCAGCCATTCTCATCAAAAGAAGACAAGAGTGATCAGGAAGGAGCATCTTCCCATGCAGATAATGCTCAGGAATCAGACTCCAGCTTCTGGGCCTCTAGACTCATAGCGCCCCCAGTCAGAAATAGCTGTGCTTGTGCTGACAGTTTCCCTGTTCACCTGCTTCTTTGAGACAAAAGCTCAGGAAACACTCCCACTGGGCTCCTCCAAGATTAAGCCCTGGCATCTTGTGAAGGAGGAAGAAAGAGATAAACACCCAGTAGTTTTGTGTTCACCTTCTAATTTAAACACACACACACACACACACACACACACACACACACAGTATTTCTATTCACTTTAAAGAGTCTTTCCAAACTTATTAGCAGTTCCTCTTCCTGGGATTAAAATAATTTGTGTCCCCTCCACAGCTTGCTCTGTGTGATAGTCTTTCTCTTCTTTACCAAATCACACCCCTCTCTGTAACCAAGTTTGATTTGTTTATTTATTTATTCATTTACTTATTGTCATATTGTAAATCACTTTCTGTAATCTACTGCTTTTGAATGGTCCTAGGAGTCTGGGGCTAATGTTAGAGAGCTTACCCCGGGAGTCCCTGGGTTTGATCCCCAGCATCGCAGAAGAAAAGATACTGTCATTATCTGAACAGAGGAAGAATCTGAGCCTGGATTTGCCTTTGTTAGCCACAACTACACGATCTAAAGAAATGAGGAAATGCTCTTATAAAAGTGGTAGGAGCAAATTGCCAACCAAGGAATTGTTAGCAGAAAAGAAGTGAATAGAAGGGAAGCGCATAGGAAAAGAAGGGAATCCAGACTCGGGAGAGCCCTTCCTAGCTGCCATCTCAGCCCAGATTTTAGGAGGAAATTCTTCAGTTTCTGTCAAGCCTCAATTTCCTGATCGACAGAAGGAAAAAATAAAATGTGCCCTCTGTCATTCCCAACCTCCTTGATTGACTACAGATACTTGGGAAAATCCAAAAGGCTATGCAATGTTTGTTTTTAAAGTGGTGCTTTTGCCCCCTAAACGCGGCAGGTGGGGTAAACTCTGATTCTGCCACTCAAGGTTGCCTTAGGTAATGATTTCCTGACAAGCTGATTTTATTTTTAAGCAGTGCTACATTCATAGATTCATAGAACGTTGACCTAGAAGGCTCTTTAGAATCCATCGCCTCTTAGGGGAAATAAGAAAACAAATAGATTAAATGCAACCCAAACTCCGCGGAAGTCATTGTAATTATTTATCACCTCCCACAAGGGTGGAGTTCACCCAGCAAGTTCACTCATGTCCGCCTTCCGGGGCTCGCTTACCTAGAGACAACAAGAAGCCTCGGAATTTCCGAAGCGAGGTCGCCTGCCCGGCAGGCTGCGTTCTCTGCTAAGTGCCCTCGCGCAATTCGTTAGCGCAAGTTCACATTCCAAATATCAACAGGCCCCGGGCCCTCAGCTTTCGAAGTGACAAGAGACCATCTCCGCTGACCTTTTCCACGGGATAAGATTCATTAATTTCCAGTAATCAAATGACTGAAAACAAAAATCGGAGTGGGCAGATGGAATCTGTTAAGTAAAGGTCATTAGCCAAGTTCATTTATATTGGAAATAGGAAACTGCCTAGCACAGAAGGGAGGCCGGGTGCGCGTAGAGGACTCGACGACAAAAGATTCCCGGAAACACGTGCAAGGTCCCAGTTTTGCCCCGCAAGCCCTTTATTAGCTAAAGAGACTGCAAACCTAGTAAGAGAATAGAAGACCTCCCGGGGGAAAAGAAAGGGGAAGCGGGGCGAGCAGTCTCTTCAAGAATCCCCAACAGGTGCACGCCCCCCAACCCCTCCGCCTTAATTTGGAAGGCTATTAAGTGTATTATTCCTCGCGAGCCTTGACTTGCTAGAACACCGCTTTTTCTAAAATGCACGGAATGAGCGTTTCCACAAACAACCCGAGGACAATCATTTTTAAAATATCTGTAGCCCGAGGGACATGGAAGAGTCGTAGGACCGGAGTGCAACAAGTTCAGAAAACAAAAATTGCGCTGTGGATTTTGTCTGCCCACGCTGCCAGCCGCACGCGAGTGGAGGTGTGGGGAGGGAGGTGGTGGGAGCCCCGGGACCACCCCGAGACCAGGGTGCTGGGACACCGACTTCGAGCTCCGGAGGACTGGGACTGCAGAGGATTGAAGCGCAGTCCGCAGAGGGGAGTCGCCTAGGGATTTGAATTAGAGATGTGGGATCTGGGGCCCGGATGAGAGCCGGAGGATAGTGACCAACCGCGGGCTAGACCATCCGGAAGAGTGAGGAGGATCCAGCTGTGGCTCTGCCTGGATCCCCGCAAGGCAGAAGGCTCCAGACACCAGGTCCCTTCACCTGAGGCCAGCGGAACTGCTTAAGGGAGGGCAATGGTCCAGGTGGAGAGGCCGCGGGTCCGGGATGACACAGCTGGGGAGCACGGGGGAGGGCAGTTGGCTGAGAAATGAAGATGGGGGTGGGGGGAGGGCGGGAGAGGGGGTTCTGCGTAAGCTGCGGAGAAAAAGCTCTGCGGAAGTAGCGAGCAGAAAGCCCAGTGCCAGTTTGGGCAGGGACACTGTGCGGGTCCGAGGCGCTGAAGACGCAGGGGGCGGGAACCAGCGACCACAGCCCGGCGTATCTCCGCAACCCTACGCAGGGAGCTGGAGGTTGCGTGGGGACCAGTCGCCAGCCACCGCAGCGTCGACGGGTGGGTTTTGAGGGTCTCCACCTCAGGTCTCGGAGGCCGGCGGTAGCCCCTGGAGCCGAGTCAGTCTCCCAGTCTTCCCGTCGCTCCGGCCTCCCCTCCCCACCCCGCGACTCAGAGCACGTGCGGCCCCGAGCTGAGTTCGCCCTCGTCCCCGATGTCCACCTCGTCTTCGGGCTCTGTCAGCACAAAGGCGCCGGCAGGCAGACTCAGCCGAGCCTCCGCGGCCTCTGCACCTCGCGGACTCTCGGGGCTCTCTGGCCGGTCTGCGGCTTTGGGTTCGTCTTGACTTTTCCTCAGCTGCTTTTTATGCTTCATCCGCCGGTTCTGGAACCACGTTTTCACCTGATTTCGGGGAGACACAAACAAAATCACATCATTCTTCGGACAAATGGTGGCGGAGCTAAAATCTCAGCGATAGACGGAGTCTAGAAAAATGGACCTCGATCCACTGAATTGAACTCGATCCCAGCGCCGCGACTGCCTCACCCTTTAGTTAAGTCAGGCCTGAAGTGCTCACAAACTACCTTTTAGGCTGAATGACAACCTAAAGTCTTCAAGAGTGATTTCCAAAATAATGATGAGGATCAATGGTATGGATAGTAACTAATAAGGGTAAGCGCTGTATGGACGGGTCTCCTGTAGACTCAGTTTATGATCCTTGGACTGGGACATCTAACTCTCTGGTCCCACAAGACTTGCTGACCGGAAGTCAAGAACTGAATGAAGTGACGAATTCATCGGAGAGAATCAGACTCAGCCCCAACCTGCTAAAGATTTCACAGCAAACTCCACTTCCAGACTCGGGGAATACGAGAGGGAATAAAGGAGTTGGGTAGGTGAATACACACAAGATGAAAATAGAGGGGAGCCCCAACTACAGTGCTGGGAGTGGGGTGGGGTGCCTATGACAACGTCGCTTTGAGTGACAGTGACTGAAATGAATGGGTGGAGGAGAGGGGGAAAGAGGGAGAAGGAGCCGGGTGTGAGGTCAGGGTCTCGAGGTGCAAAACTGTAATCCCTACTCTCTAGGTTAAGGCAAGAGGATTGGGAGTTCCAAGTCAGCCTGGGCTACATGTCCAAACCCTCCTCAAAAAGAAAACGAAACTTGTGTAAGCCTCTCCTGGAACAAGAACCCCTTAATCTCCGACCTGGGTACATCCTTAGATGGAGTGGCGGAGGAGTAGAAATAAGAGTTCTCAACTCAGAGGTGAGAACAAAATCACTTGAGGTTTTCCTTCAGCAGAGCTCCGCTGGGGAAATTTTGTTTGGGTAAATCTAACATGAAATTAGTGTATAAGTCATGTTTGATCTTGAGGAAAGCCTAGAGGCCATCATTCTTACTGTGGGTCTGAAAGTGCTCAGACTTGGTGGGAGAGGAGCGCGACGCAGGGTCCAGGGTCTCCCCCTGCTCTCGCCCACCTGCGTCTCGGACAGGCTGAGCGCGGTGGCCAGCTCCACCCGCTCTGGCGTGGACAGGTAGCGCTGGATTTCGAACCTCTTCTCCAGACCCGAGAGCTGCGAATCAGAAAAAACCGTGCGAGCTTTGCGGCGACGACAGTGCTTCCCCGGCAGCTCCGCGTGCTGGGGGTGCGGGAACAGCGCCGGGACCGGCACTCCTGTGGAGACAAGAGCGGAGTGACGGTCAGACTCCAGGTCCCCAGGTAGCGGTTTCCAGCCTCCGTTCCACTCCACCCCAGAGTTGCCCGACCCGGTCCCCAGCTAACCCAAACGCTCGGGAGTCCCACCCCTCCGGAATCCTAGGACAGCCTGGAGGGGGACCGCAAAATAGCGCTTGGAGATCTTTTTCTGGAAGGCCACCCAGAAATACAAATAATAAACAGAAAGTAAAATAGAAAAGAAAAACTAGAGCAAAGATCTGGAGGCATTTAAAAATAGTGTCTTCTCCGATAGCGCGTTCCATAGAGCGGGCGCGCTCGGGCCCAGTTCTCTTCCGAGGAGCAAAGTTTTCTTGCCAAAGTCGGATGGTACCAGAGCTGTCTACCCACACCCACCCAGATCTGTACTGACATTCAGTGCTATTTTAGTGCCAGAAGGTAGATACAATTTTGCCTTCTCAACTCAATAAAATGCACCTCTCTGGAGGAATCATGCCCATCCTCCCATCAACCAAAGAAAACAGTAAAATGCTCGTTCAAAGAAGCTTTGGTGTTTCGCCTTTTTGCCACGTTTCCTCGTCATTGTAGATTCTGCCTGAAGACGCTGCTCCTTAATCTGGTCCTTTTCTTTCTCTCCAAATTCCAAGGCCAGCGGAGCAGAGGGGTGAAGTGCATTTTGCTGCGGGATGCGGAAGACCTGTCTTGCACTTCCAGACCCTCTCTACTTTACTCCACGTCTGAGACCTCCAAGCCGAAGGCTGCCTCAGACACCCGCTATCTGCTGATGCCGGGGAAAGAAGCACGGAAATCAAGCCATTTAGGCGCCTCATACTTTGGTCATTGCTTTACGGGGGCAACATTGGCCTTGAGGAGAGTCTGCCCCCAGCCCTGTGGTGAAGCTAGGCACAAGGCTGACCTCCAAGCAAGCTTCAAACTCCCCGTCCAACCTAGTGCTGGAGAGTCTGGGTTTTACCACAATTCATTTTTAGCCCTTTTTATGGATTCCAGTGCCTACATTTCACAACCGGCCTCTAGGGTTGTTTGCCTGCTGCGCTCAGCATCTGGATTAGACGAAATGTTCTACCTTGGCTAGAATGAAAATGCTAGAAAAGAAAGCATGCACATGGCTATCCTGCAAAATCTTTGAGCTGGGTATCCCGGCAACTCCCTGCCCCGTCTTTACTTTGCTGATCTGCACTCCTTGCTTGCCAAGCTGGAAAAATATCAAAATACTTCAGCACCCGGTTCCAGTGGTTTCGGAAACTGAGGCAAAGGAAGTCAGGCCAGCAGACCCACCATGAGTCAAATGCTGAAAATGGAAGTGAGGAATGTTCCAGAACTGCAGCTCTCTTCTAACTCCTGCCCTTCCTACCCTTACTCCAGTCAGCCCACACCTTCTTTCCTCAGACTATCCCCAGGCTTTCCAGAACCCTCATGCCCTCTGCAAGACTGGCCAGTGCTTCTCGGGAGCAGAAAAGGAGTAAGTTGGCCAGGCTGAGCATTTCCAGCTTCTGACCTGGAAAGTTCAATTTGGTCCCCTGGGATAGGATGACTGAGGGCATCCCTCTGAGGTGGGAGGGGTGAAGAACTGGGGTTGAGAGGTGAAACCAAGTGGCCAGGAAGATCAGGAGCAGGACCAAGTACTGTCCACCAAAACTATAACCACATCCGCACACCCTCAGCTGCCTCTTTGGCCATACACAATCCTGTTATAAAAACTATGAAATGACCATGAACTGTACCCTCAGTTGACATGCCTCAAGGGCTTGATCTAGTCCTTATCCCCAACATTCTGTCACTGAGGGAAGGAAGGAGGTCACCCAGCCAGGCCCAGTCAGAGCTGGCCTTCCCTCCAGCCCTGTCACAAGCTTGGGGTCTGTGCTAGAAGACCGGATCCTTCCCAGTTCCCACTCCTAGAGGTCCCTGCTACTTACCGGAGGTGGTCAGGAAATAAGGATGATGGTGATCCCCTTTATGCAGAGGGTGATGTGCATGGGGAGCGAGGAGGGTAGGTGTGGGCATAAGGGGATAGCCATAGTCTAGCAAAGGCACCCTAGAGGCCAGAGAGCTGGTGAAGTGGTCAGGGGCCACCTCCCTCAGTGGCTTGGGCTTGTGCAGCAGAATGTCCTCGATGAAGAAGGATGTGGGCCTCTGAGAAGACACTGGGTGGAGAGGGGAGGTGAAGTTGAGATTCATCTTGAGGAGTGCCAGCCACGGGGAGAGGGTTGGGGAAAGTGTAGGTAGCAGGCAGCTTCGCAGCAGGCCTGGTGGAGAGCCGACAGCCTCTCTTCCAGGCTGAGATCTCCGCTCCTCTATTGGCCTGGACTATCCCTGACGCTGGAGAGGCAAGAAAACAAGCTCCTGGGTAGGTTGGGTCTGTGTGTTGGAGAATTGGCAGCTTGGAGAGGGGAGCTGGGAGAACCAATGGCGAGGCTGCGGCGGCTGAGGGGAGGGTGCGGTGGGCTCAGGGCGGGGCGGGGATCTGTCCGCGGTGCTGAATGCTCCTGGCCAAGCCGGGAGAGCAGAGCCCACTGGGTTTGGTTCCTATCAGGCTACTCGACCCCAATTTCCGCCCTTCCACTGCAAGAGCTGCTTTGTTCCAAATCGTTTTAAAAGACTAGAAATGAAAAAAAAATCACTGTTGTCGAAGAAACTGCTCTTTAGAGAGAAGATACCCAGAAAACCCCAATAGAAATAGAAATAAGGCCCTTATTCAAGCATTTGGGGCTTTGTTATTTTTTTTAAGAGTTTCAGTAATCGATATTGAAAGGAAAAGAGAAGTGAAGAGAAGTAATATACACTACTCTAAATTGCTAGAGTTAGGCTAAATCGAAGGGAGCGATCACTGAATTATTGGGATAAATAAGGATGATGGAAATTTTTTTACCAGGATTATGGGGAATGGACAAGGTCTATGCCTATCAGCCCAGTGACCTGGTCATTTTAAAGATGTCCACAGTCACTCCTTGCTGGCACCTTCCATGCTGCCCCTCACTTCACTCACATGATCTGTGTTATTTCCACTACATCACTCCTTCCAGCCACAGCCTCCCCAATAATCACTCTAGATTCTGCCCCCTGGTCCTTTCCCCTGCCTCTTCCCTTTCCTTTCCCTCCCCTCCAATCTCTTTTCTTTCCTGTTTGTCTTTTTCTAATCTGTCACATTTATTTCCCTGGAGTCAATTTGCTAAAATTAAGGTGATCATCCACAACACAGCAGGGGTAATTTGGGCTCGCATCTCCGAAAATTGCTCTAATTATTGATGTTAAACTCAGGGAAATTAAAAGAAGCCACTTCTCTTCCATCTCCCCATTTTTAAGCTCTAATTTGTTGAAATCTAGTCATCATCACAATTCCAATCACTACTGCTAATAGCAAAAGTGTTTTAATAGAGACTGAGTCCTCACAACCCATGCTATTAGATAATTAGGGGAGGTGTTGGGAGCCAAGTGCTAATCCTTGGGCACTCTGACGATAGGATTTCCATCTGATCTAGCAGGTAGAACAAATTAATTACCAGAATCAATTAGGCCCCAAACTTCAGTGCTCCAGGAAGTGGAAGTGTCCTTTTCTACAAGAACACACTGGGAAATGTTAAGTAGATGAGGAGAGGAAACAGAAGAAGGAAGCCTAGTGGGAGAGACATGGAAATAAGAGCTTGGTAAGCAGGCATGTAAACGAAGTCAGAACTCTTTCTTTGTCTGAAAGTGACATGCTTTAAAGTTTATAATAGTAAGAACCGAAGATAGGTGAGCAGATGACTACAGGAAACAATAGACTTTACAAAAGTTGTTCCCTAACAGATCTGGCCAACTCATCTTTCATGGGATTAAAGGGGGTGGAAGAAATTGGTGAGGAGGCGCTGCTGAGGTGACAGTCTACACTGTGGAAACCCCCCAGCCCCCACCCCCATTGTGAATGAATGTAAGGCATCCACACCCAGCAAGCCATTCTGTCTCCAAATACAATGCTGAGGGGTTATTGAGGGTTGGACACCCTACAGTCAGAGTTTCGGGGTGTCTGTTAGAGTCGTTCACCCAGTTCCCACTGGAGTATACAGGTCTGCACCGAGGCTCCGGGGCGGGCTTTCCGCTTCTTTCGGGGCGGGGACTAACTTCTACTTCAGAAACCGGAGAGCTTTTCGAATGTCACTTTGGGAACAGGGTTAGTAAACACGTCTTTGGGTGCTGGTGTTTGAGCTACGACTCCGGAAACTCTCCTTACAGATCTCCCAGAGTGCTCAAGGGATCGCAGGGAGAAAGGAGTAGTGCACTGCCTTCTCCATCCTTGTCTCCGACTGCGTCTACACCCTTCACTCAGAGCTGTGTATTCAGCGCAAACCAACGCAATCTCCTGGGGCGCTGCTCCTTGGCCCAGAAGCCTGGGATGGGGATCTGGGTGGCGGCAGCTGAGGCTCACACCCAGGCTAGCCTTTCCGAGGGCCGAGCTGCCCAGGTAGAGAGACTGGAAGGTGTTTTCCTCGGAATTCAGATGGTCCGGCCCTGGCCTCTTTGGGTCGCTGGAGGAACCTGGGTAGCGGCAGAAAGGAGCAGGACCTGGACCTGGAGCTCGCAGGCATTGTCTTTCCCTTTCTGTTCAGCGGTGCTGGCGAACAAAGCTGGGAACCAGGAGAGCTCCGCCAAGGCTGTCAGTACCGGAGCAGACCTCTGGGGCTTTTAGGCTGATCAGAAGTCCCTGTGCAGTCGTCACCCTTATCCAAAAGAGAAAGGGACCCTGGCTCCCCCAGCCCCAGGCACAGCGCAACCCGCACTTGCCCAGCTCCACGAATGCGCTGGCTGCGCAGGTGCCGGCTGTGCGCAGATGTTTAGTCCTCAAAAGGTTTCTGAGCGGGTCCTGACCTCACATTTCTAGGCCAGGCTCGGGCCCTCGTGGAAAATGAGAGACTACGAAAGCCGGAAAAGTCCCTATTGGCGGAACTCCTTGGTCAGAACCGTGCAAAAACGCTAGAATTACAAAAACCAGCTCCGACTGCCAGGCTGGGGTGAATGCGGGGGCCCAAGGTGTCGAACCCCACCCGGGTTTCAGTCCCGGTCTATTCTACCTTAAGAGGAGAAGGCATTACAAAGTCAGCAGTTTCTGTTCTGCAGCTTCGCCCTCCACCTCTTGACCCCACTCCCGCAGGTTCAGGGCAGCCCCGGTAACCGGGTAACCGAGTCAATGTTATATTTCAGGTAGGGGGTAAAGATTATCAGCAGCAGGGGAAGTGGGCAGGGAAGCGATTTCCCTTTTAAAAACAGATGTGTCACTGCTTGGCTTCTCTCCAGAGTCTAAACCAGTGCTAAACCAATAATATAATGTGACCCACGTAGGTAATTTTAAAGTATTCTGGTCAATTTTAAAACAGGAAAATATTTTTATTCTGCATTGCATTTAATTCTAATTTACATTCAACATGTGATCAATACAAATATTTGCATCCTTTTTTCATACTAAACCTTTTGCTGTTTAGGCATGGTCTCATGTATCTGACTTGATCTTGAACTCAATATGTATCCAAGGATAACCTTGTACCCAGCATCCTCTTGCCTCCACTTCCCAAGAGCTGGGATTACAAGCGTGCACCACCATGCAAGGCTTCACATTAACTTTTCAAACAGCCGAGTGTGTTTTGCACTTCTTCACATCTCAGTTCACACTAGCCATGTTTTAAGTGTACTGCACTCATACCAGACTCGTGGCTACCATACTACACTGTACAGCACACATGCAGTTCCTTGCCGGCCTCCCTACTGCTCTTTTCAAATGTAGATAGACCCTTGGAAACATGGAAAGTGGTTCTAACACTGACCCAACACACCAAGGACTTGCCCTTCACCCACTGTTATATTTGATTCTTGTGAGAATTCATTGACCATCTACTGTATACAGGCTCCTGGCCACACACCTCCCCAAGCTTTCTCTAAGCCTTAGAGGAGTACATAAATGCATTCACAATACATTTGTTTTATTTTTATTCTCACTTGGATAAAACATCTGTCACCCAGGGCCAACAAGCTGTAGCTGTCTCTAAGGTTGTCACATAAAGCCAGATCCTGTATACTGCCCAGAGTGATGATGATGATGATGATGATGATGTTGATGATGATGATCAAATGAGTCACTTCCCTCTCAGCATCTAATAGATTTGATGGCCCTCCTGCTTGAGTTTCAGCTGGAGAATCACTAATTTAAAGAGAGAAAAGGCATGCTTTACAGGGAGCTGATAATTAAACAGGCCCTCTTTCTTTCATGTCAGCCTCAGCTAAAACTATCATCTGAGCTGGGACTTAGTTTCCCAAAAAGATAACCCTATTGATGATCAAAGGAAAGACTGGTTCCATTAGCCACGTTGCCTATATGGTGGCCTTCAAAATAAAGGGAGAAATGTATTTTAGAAGGATCTGAGTAACACACTTTACTCATAACATTTTGTATTATATTGCTGGTTGTCTGTTTCAACTTACCTTCTATCTGAGTACTTTATTTTAAGCACTACCAAAGTGGATGACATGTCTACAAAAGGAACAGGAGCTGCTGGCTGCTCGTAGCAAATGCATCTTCAAAAATAATGCTTCTGCACTGGAAATTAGGATGTGAACCCTCATGAGAACACATTCAAAGATATGATATTCAAAATACGTTGTTCTTAATGTAGAAAAGACTAAATCCATTTGATTTGCTCATTTTGGGATAGGTCAGTCTCTAGGGCTAAAATCTTCCATTTCATGTGACTCCTGAAGTTCTCTCTGTTGCCTTTGGGCATCTCAAATCAAAACATACTTCATGAAGTGTTAGGGGGAAAAGAAGACCCCTAAGATAGAATGAAAGGTTTCAAATATGAGAGAACTGATGTCATTTCTTAATTCTCTGAAGGACACACAGTGGAATGAGAATGGTCTTTGATCTGTCTCTAGACTTACCATTCGGGTCCTAAAAGAGTAACCAAATATACTACAGAACATAAATACGAGCTAACAAAAACTGCCCTTTAAATATTTTCTACTAGGCATGGTGGCACAGGCCTGTAATCCCAGCACTTGGGAGGTAAAGGTAGGAGGTTCAAGACCAGTCTCAGCTTCCTATCGAGTTTGAGGCTAGCCTGGGCTACATGAAACCCTGTCTCAAAAAAGCAAGTTCTATGAACAGATTATACACAACAAACCAAAAATAATATTACATTATACATGCTTTTAAAAATAAATAATAGCAATTGCTTATTTTTGCTTATATATTTTTATG